ACTTGCACCCTAATAAGCAAATTTGTTTGGAGCCTTAAGCAGAAAAGAGAAAAGGTTACATCAACTATGTGTGAGTGTAGCCCTACTCATCCTTTTCATGACTGCCAATATGTGGCCCCACTTTAAAGAATTAGCCAAAGTGGAATGTGGTCACCAGGCCTTTAAAGGTTCCATACCTCTGGTCCAGCTTTGTAGCTGTTTCCTGGCCACTTCTATGAATGAATGAATGAATGAATGGTATGTTCATTGTAGTCACAGACCAATGAAACTTCTCTAAATGCATCATTAGAATGTTATGAATAAATGCAACATTGGAAGCACCTTTGAGTTTGCTTTGGCTGCACCTTGTTTACTATAATTTAAGCCAGGCATAGGCAAACTCAGCCCTCCAGATGTTTTGGGACTACAACTCCCATCATCCCTAGCTAACAAGACCAGTGATCAGGGATGATGGGAATTGTAGTCTCAAAACATCTGGAGGGCTGAGTTTGCCTATGCCTGATTTAAGAAATATACAGTGGTATCTCGGGTTACAGACGCTTCAGGTTATGTGTTTTCGGGTTGCGCACCGCGCCGAACCCGAAAGTACCGGAATGGGTTACTTCCGGGTTTTGGCGCTCACGCATGTGCAGAAGTGCCGAATCGTGACCCACATGTGCGCAGACGCGGCGCTGTGGGTTGCGAACGTGCCTCCCGCATGGATCATGTTTGTGACCCGAGGTTCCACTGTAACAAGCTTTAGATGGTAGCTCAAAATAAAATACAAGGTAACTTTTGTTTTTCAAGAAACAAATGAAAAACAAATGAAGTTCCAACATGTAAGATTTTAGAAAGAGAGAAAAAGGAAGCAGCTTTGATTGGGCAGGTAGGATGATCTTGTGGCATTCATCCAGCAGTGGGCAGCAAGGTGTTGATGCAAAGCCACCCTCTTGACACTGGTGTCACTCCAGATTCCCTGGACGGCACTGGGGCAGAGCAGGGGTGACAATGCAGTCAGGTCTGCATGGACCCACTAGTGTAGCCAGTCCACGCAGCCCTGCTATTCGCTCCCTGCAGACATGACCTCACTGCTGCCCTGCTCTGTCCAGGTACAATGAGCAATGGCAATGCTGATAGGATGACTCCACCCCACCGTACTGGCGGCTGCTGGATCATTGCATGTTGACCATGTGGCCATTCACATACATAGAAATTCTGCTATTTCCGTTCATGTAGCGATCTAAGGTAGGCGGGGTTTTCTTTACATGCACACGTGTGTGTTTTTATGTTGTTAACTCATTAGGTTTCCAATTTCCGTAGAAAAATGTGAGGGATATCTTGACTCCTATACATGTTGAAGCCACCTACCACCTCGGAGAGAATGTTCTAAAGAATCAAAGTTCAGATGAACTCCCACCACTCCAGCCAGTTCTTCAACAACGAACTGAGGATGATGTCATACGCAGCAAGGTATGTTTGTGTTTGCGAAAGTGGCATGTTTGCACCTGAAACAGGGTTTTTTGGGGGGTTTTTTTGCATACTTATTGCTATTTGTTTTTCCTCCAACATTTATATGCCTCTCTGTAACGTAAAGTTTTCTGGAAAACTTAAAATAAGTAAAAACAGTTGAATTGAAAAATAAGTTTCCAATTGCATTTGTGTGTATGTTTATGTTTTGTATTTATGTATTTTTGGGGCCACTGTAGCAGCTCTTGAGAATTGGAGATGTGGAGTATGAATTTATTAAATAAATGAATGGTCCAGATTTAAGCAGCTTGCACTGTGTGTTTATCTAAAAAATGCTACTTTTAGGACTGCCATCTTCGTTTGCTTTTTTAAAAAATGTTTTTATCGAAATATTTTGCAAAGGTACATTCAGTGTCTCTGTTTTTAAATCATAGCATCCTTCATACAAATCAATTACCGTCAGTTTGAGACACATTTTTATCCTAGAGAGAATGGCTTCAGAAATATTACTTGTGAAGCCAGTCCTATGGATACAGAGCCATGAGAGTAAACAAGGGGTCAGCAAACTACAGCCCCCAGGGGGCTGGTTCACTGTCCCTCAGACACTGTTGGGGGCTGGACAGGAAGGACAAGCTGGTGCCTTACCTGCAGCTGCCACCCTGTGCAGGTGTTTCTGCCCCTTCGTCCTACTGCTCTCCAGAGGTGAAGGCCACCGCCTGGGCCACTTTGCCGCCAGCCTCATCATCCTCCACCGTCACGTCAGCCGCCAATGGCAACGCAGCAGCTGTGGCCCCGCTGAGCCCTAGCCCAGGCCAGTTGTCCTCCTCCAGGAATGCAGCTGCTGCCCCACACATGGGAATGCTGAGCGGGAGCAGCCACAGCAGCACCAGGGCAGCGGCAGTGGGAGGAAGAGGCCGAGCGGCAGCAGCTCCGCCAATCAAACTCCGCTCCTGGTTTACCTAAGTGTGGTGTGGGGACGTATCTGCCAATCAAACTCCGCGCCTGGTTTACCTCAGCGCAGCGCGGCATTTGATTGGCAGAGACGTCCCCATCCCACCCTGAGGTAAACCAGGCGCGGCGTTTGATTGGCAGAGACGTCCCCATCCCACCCTGAGGTAAACCAGGCATGGTGTTTGATAGGCAGAGCCTCCGCTTCTCAGCCTCTTCCTCCCGCTGCCTTCGCTGGGAGTCTCGGCTTCGCAGCGGGTTCTTAAATGGCCAGGCTGGATTTAGAAGCCTGCTGGGCCTGATACGGCCCAGGAACCATAGTTTGCTGACCCCTGGAATATACTTTCCCTTGCTCTGTACGAAACTTTGAATAGCAGTTAATTTATAAGTGTGTGCGCATGTGTGTGTGCACAGCCTTCTGCTGCTGGCCTAGTTTTCCGGATCCGGGCAAATATGTTCATTTCCTGATCTAATTTTAAGTGCTCCAATGCAGTGTTTAAGAGCCTAATAAACCCCTTCAAATTAATAAATGTTTCCCTCGGCAAATACTGTTGTGATGAAAGGTCAAATGGATTTGTTTCCATACCTCATGAAGCATCTTAGTTAGCATCAAGCCAGTCTGAAAAAAAGTCAAATAAAAAATTGTCTGCACTACATCAGTCCACTGACGGTATATTGTGCAGTGGGATCACAAGTGGGGAGATTGCTGTTGCATTCAGGTCCTGCTGTTTATAGTGACCATGGTGAAAACAGAAGATGGGGCTAGATAGTCCTTTTGGAGTCTCTCTTTATGGTCAGTAATACCATGTGTATGTTGTTTAGGCTGATGTTGTGTTAGGAGCCTCCCAGAGGTATCTGTTGAGGGTTGCCTAGAAAGAGCTGTTTCCTTTTGGGTCCCTTGCTTTGTTGTTGTTGACAGTGGAAGGTACTAGACTTGTGTGTAAAGAATGAGAGAGAGGAGTGAGGACCTGCCAGTAAAATACTGTTTTAAATTAACAGTCTGAGTTTCAGAGTGAAAAGGGTTTTACTTCTGAAAATGTATGGATATGGGACGCAGGTGGCGCTGTGGGTTAAACCACAGAGCCTAGGACTTGCTGTTCAGAAGGTCGGCGGTTCGAATCCCCGTGTCAGAGTGAGCTCCCGTTGCTTGGTCCCTGCTCCTGCCAACCTGGCAGTTCGAACGCACGTCAAAGTGCAAGTAGATAAATAGGTACCACTCCGTGGGAAGGTAAACGGCTTTTCCGTGCGCTGCTGTGGTTCACCAGTAGCAGCTTAGTCATGCTGGCCACATGACCCGGAAGCTGTACGCCGGCTCCCTCGGCCAATAAAGCGAGATGAGCGCCGCAACCCCAGAGTCAGCCATGACTGGACCTAATGGTCAGGGGTTCCTTTATCTTTACCTTTATGTATGGATATGGTATTGTATTTGACCCTAAATAATTGTTGTTTTTCTCTTTTATAGTTCATGTTTGCAAGATTTTGCTCTCAAGAAAATTGCTCTGCTAACTTGCAAGTTTCTGGAAAACTTACATTCCCGAGGTAAGTAACTAGTGATTTCTATGCGGTAAAAAAAGCCTGGATATGCTTTATTTATTTAATTATTACCCTTCCACCTCACTTCCAAGGAGCTCAAAGTGGTATATATATTTCTCTTTGCATTGCACAATAAGCCACATCATGAAGAACCCTTTTCAGCAATTTGTGTTGCAGCGTTCTGTACATTTGTACGGATGAGAATTTTTATGGACATTGATATATCTCCATTAAAATGGGCTCCTGCGCTGCTTACTGTGATATATACACACACACACACTATGATTGCTAGTGAAAAATCTAGTTTGGCTTTCTCACATTCCCAGATGTGCACCTGGTGATTTTATTATATGTGCAAATATCATACTCCACACTGGCCATCTTTTTTTGTCCAGGCTCCCCTTTCAAGCTTTGGTGGTACACTGGCAATGAAGCAAAACGCAGCATCACACACAATAGGAAAGGGAAGAACACCCCATTATTTAACTTGGAAGCATACTGCAACCCCAAGACCCAGCCACTGGAATGTTAACAGTTGTGTGTTTCTCCTTAATTTGAAACTTAGCTTCTTACGCTGACTTCCTAAAATGGCGACGAAGGTAGCGGCTTAGTAAAGGCGTCTGCCTTTAGATTAAGTTTTAAGTAGTTTTAAGTAGTTATTTTAACCCCCCTCTGGGTTTTTATTGTTTTATTGTTTTTAGACTAAGTTTCAAGTAGCTCTAAGTAGTTTCTTTTAACCCCTCTGGGCTTTTATTGCTTTATTGTTTTATTACCTGCTTCGTGCTTCAGCCTTGCTGCCTTGCCGCACCCCCCGCTGTGCATTTGGTGCTGAGGAGCTGAATAATCTTCTGAGACGAGTGAGTGGGGAAGGGAAGAGGTCCGGTTGACTCCCCTGCCGTGAAGGGATTCCCTGTCACTGGAAAGGAGAGGGCTCCACCAGGGAAACATACTGAGAGCCAGCGCTCGCTGATGAGCTAAGCAGGAGAAAGCTGCAGATTCATCCCTACTCATCCATTGGCCCTGCTAATTAGGCAGAAACACTGGGGGACAACTGGTTTTCTAATAGGAAGACAACTATCCAACATGGTCCTCACTAGAAAGTTGTGTAAGGAGTTGGGTATCTTGCCAGATACGCCACTTAGCCCCCCGGGACCTGGAAAGAGACAAAGTAAAATTATAAATTACTTCTCCAAGAGGGAGGAATGCATGAGTGAACAAATTGAACCAATCGAACCAATTATTGACGAAGTCACTCCTCTCCCCCTTACTTACCTTGACCGGTCACATTACTTCAAAGAGCTTCAACACAACTCTGGAAACACAAATTCCCCAGAAGCCTGGCGCAAGAGCTAGTTCTAGCTGAGAAACCTGTGGAAAATATTTCTGTCACCTATAACCAGCGGCCCCTGGCAGAATTAACAACATGCCACCAAGACCAGGCGCCCACTTCCAAATATACTCAAACTGAACTGAGTGATGGCCATCTTCAGGCCCATTTCCAAGATATAAATATAGACCTTTCCAACATAAAAATTACTTGACAATAACAAATGGGTTATTGCTGACCCTTGTGGAAAATTTTATTCCCCAACCAAAAGAGACAACAGCAACCGATGCACCCCAAGTGCATAAACCAGATGAACTTGTGCATAACCCAGATGAACTAGTGAAGATGAGACAAGCAGTAACAACCAAGAAATTGCAAAAAAAATAGATCAAAAGTCCGGGAAAAGAAAACTAAGAACATTAAAACAACAAGGAAAATAAAGATAAGCCGACATAAACAATGGCAGAAATTATTTAATTTACTCCCATTGGACTGAAATAAATCTGCTGCACGAGATAAAAAAGAGAATGGCAGGAAGGGGAAAAAGAAGCCATCGCCAAAGCTAATGGCTAAGGTGGCATCTCTGAACCAGAATTCAGAACTAAGTGGGAGGACGGAAGCAACGTCGCAGAGTTCTGATAACAGTTCACTCAGCGAACCAGATTCTGGGGAGAAGTGGTCCCTAACAATGAAGGCAGCAAACCGCTTAGCAAATCGGGAAATGGGGACGATGCAATGCCCAATCGCGATGACAACACTATACAAGATGG